TTCTATTAATTTGGTTGATATGAATTAGTAAACAGAAAGATAAAGAATAATTTAGAAATTTTAAATAAAAATCAAAAATTATGTTGAGAGTAACATACTTTAATTGTAATCTTATAATAATTTCAACTTTTCCTCAATGTTATTGTAAAGCCTTAAATTTTTATGGCCCTCTAACAATTATCACTCATTTTCTAATTTAAAAACTCTGACCTCTAATGAAATAGATCATTATTGTGGAGATAAAGTATCTTTTAAAGTTACTGCAATTCTAATTTAAAAATACAGGAAAGGAAGACTATTTAAATTATTTTCATAAATTAATCATAAGTAATTTTTTTAATGAATACACTTTTTATTCATTTTCTGGTCATGAATAAGAACTATTATTTATAAATATAATTATCAATTATTATTTTTAGAAGGGCTTATATTTTATGTAATATCTGTAAATATTTGAATGTGTTGTTCATAAGGATGAATAATAATATTTTTCTAATACCCCACAAATCATATTTATTAAAACAAATTTATTATTATGTCTTAAAGATATCTTCCAAAGAAATTCTAGAAAGTAACCTCGATAAGGCAATAAGCTAATCGTATCACTTTGAAAAGGAATTTCCAAGAGGAGGTAGGATTTTTTGTAAACACTCTATGATGAGCTTAATTATTTAAGAACAATCAGATATTGCCAGAATCAAAAATAGTCAAGTATCAAAGGAATATTACAATAGACATAATCCACAGTGATATTGAATGAAACAACCCTTACTTTTTAATCAACTAGATCTACCACACAAGAATTATTTTCTAACGATAAATAAAGATCATAATTTACACCATGTATGTTTGAATAGATTCAAATTAGAACTATTTCAGTACCTATAAAAAGGAATTAGAAATAATATAAGATTAGTAAGAAGTTATTGGGGTTTATATATTATCAATGAAATAGGTGGAAAGGATGAGAAAAAGGTAAAAATAAGAATGAATTGGCAATTAAGATTGATCATAGCCTGATGTTCTAAATATATATCAAAAATAAGAATAATCTCTACTCAAGAAGAAGAAAGAAATTTATTTGACAAACAATTAGAAGGATGTTGAATTATTAAGGGGCTTGTAATTTAATAAAACTTCAAAACTAATGCAGAGAAGAAACAGAAGAAGATCTCCTTGCGAAATAGTTCTTTATTAAATAGTGTAAAAAAACAGACATTATGCACAAAGCTAGAGATAAAAATGACCCACCTTTATTTCTTAAAAGCATATAAAATATGACTATCCCTTTCAAAACTATCCTAAGTTAAATATGACTACAGGAAGAGCAATCTATTCCTATAAGGGATCAACTAGTTAATAGAATATATGGAAATTTACTCGAGAAAGAAATGGTTCTTGTATTGTTAAAGAAAAAGAAAAGAAATAAATTGATAAACTTTAATTAGAAACTAGGAGAAAAAGATAGGAAATGGAATTGCCTAAGTGACAAAGAAAAGTAAGATAAAAATGAAGTGCCATTATATTTGAAGTAGAAATATTTAGAGTATAATACCTGATCCTAACAAGGCATACTTTTGGAAAAGTGCATAATATGAATCTCATTTGGGACCCTCAATACCCCACCATAGTTTTTGTAAATTAAATTTTGGAAAATTAATTAGCTTTGTGCCTTTACATCATAGGATGCCAAGACAAATAAAAAAAGAAAGCTCTGGTATGCAAGTCCAAAATTCAGAAAAGGAAGTAAGGCAGCAGAACAAGCGCCTTATAAATTAATGTTAAAAGATCTTCTATTAAGGGGACTCACCTAAGGATAGGGTTCAGTAATTTTTAGAACTACAAAAGGATCAAAGAAATTAGGATCATATCTCTTTCAATTTGGTCTTATCTAATCCCTTTTTGCCATGTTTAAAGGGCTGTTGGAATTCCGTTGTAATATATAACTAATTTTCCATAAATAAATCAAAGACATTTTTCTTATTATTATTATTATTATTATCATTTTTTAATATTCATTAATGTTTTAGCATGAATTAACATAAAAATCTTATTAAATTTATTTTATCATTTTTCTATCAAAATTAAAAATATCATTAATTGAAAATTATTACTGAAATTAAATCTAGGCTTAGTTTAAGTAATAATTCTAAATATCTAATTTGTAAATATTTTAATATAGAAATCAATACATTACTAGATTCTGAATATTTTAGAAAAAAAAAAGACAGAAAAGAAGTGCTGTAACAGAAATTTCAAAATATAATTCTATTCAAAAGTTGTATAAACAAATAAAAAAAATACATAGAACATCAAAATGTAAAATTTGTCTAAGTTGATATTTTAATTAAACTGGTTTTTGAAAAATAGGTTAAAAGAGTTTTCTTTCGTTGTAGCAAATATTAATTTCTAAATTCTTACTTTCAATAAAACAAATATCAATAATTAAATATAATTAGTTCAATAATAAAAATTTGACATAATAAATCTGTGAGTAGTAGAAAAAATTTCTTTCATTTATCATGACTAACTTGATATAGTTATTTAGTCATGTAGAAAACGTTCTAAATTTTTTTTTAGAAAAAAATATGTAATAATTGTGATAGTTTGAATTATCCAATCAATATAATTTTTCTTCATCAGCCTTATAACTTTAAATAAGCTTTACTATAGTTTTATTATTTGATAATCTAAAGCATTTATAATATATAATAATTAGCAAGCACATTTTCTTAAGTATTTTTCACGATAAAAAAAAATCAAAGATAAAAAATATTTAATTTGTGCTTCAGATTCTTAGGGTGACTTGAAGGACCTGCATTAATTGCCGTCAAGATCGTTAAAGAGAGAAAACCTGGAGGAGCGAGACGGAATAGTTTTCCTAAACTCCATATATACTTAGATAGCATCAGGAAGTCAGTGGACATAAGGGAAGGGAGTTAAAGAATACGAACTCAAACTAGAGGCTTGATGTAGGAAGAGGCTGAGAGAGTCGGTATGATCGATGCCCATGTATAGCTGCGGGGATGCACAGAAAAAATTTTATCTGTTTATGGCGCACTATAAATATTTATATAAATCAAATATAATTAATGATTTAGCCTGAGCCATTGATAAAGATTAAGTTCCACGATATAGGCACTATTCAAAGTTTAAAAATCAACCTGAGGCCAAAATAAAAAGTTTGTTTTTGTATTAGAAAGTAATTATTTCTATACATATAATAATATAATTTTTGACCTTTTACTTTCTACTCAAATTATATCTTAATTTCACATCTATCAAAATTTATAAGGAATGATTAACAACTGTTCTTTACTGTTACCTCTTATCAAATGCAAATAGGTAAATCCGATTAATTTAGATTGTAAACTTAAATTAGTCAATAATTTTTTCTCTTCTAAAAAACTAAAATAACTAATGATATCTCAGAAGTTTTGTGAGTTAAAATTAAGCTCTCTGATTTTTAACTTTTGCTTTAGTATCTATCTAAAATAAATGGGTGTTTGAAATTATTATTTGAATTTAGTAAACTCACTTTAATATCTGATACTATTAGATTTCTTAGTTTTTTCTTTGTAAATAATTTTATCTTTTTTTTATCTCTTTGCTAGAAGCCTAAATTTTCTTGCAGCATGCATCTCCTAAATTCTTTCACTTTCTAAAATGCTATTTGAGAAAGTTGTGGTTTAGTATGCAATAAGAGATATTATTGAATTAAAATTCAATAGGAATTTATAAGAAGATATACTGGAGAAGTATTTAAAATTAAAAAGATTAGGATGATATCAGGGCTCTTTTATTCAAAATTAAGCCCTATTATAAGTAGCTGGAAATCGTTACTCTGGACAGAAATCTTAGAAGTACAAAAGTAGTGTTCAAAGTATTCATAGATAATTATAGATTGTTCTTAATCAATAGGAAATAAATTAAAAAATAAGTAATTTGAATGAAGGATGATTTTAGGGCATTTCTGGTTCACATTTACAATAAATAAAAGTATTTGTATGAATATGAAGGTTAATAATAAAAATTGAAGTTAAAGAAAATTCATAACTTGAAACATCGATCATAAATTATCTGTTGTTTTTAAGGATGAGTTAAAATTGTGTTCTATATGATTAAAACCTTTCTTGTTTCAAAATAAAAGCCATTTTTAAGTTATGAAACCTTGTTACAAAAGATAAGTTTTTATTAGGTCTAATATTTTTTAAAAAGTTTAACTTTATAAATTTTTATTATATTAGTTTTTCTAAATCTTATACATTTAAGCTCATCTTTATAAATAGTACTTAATATAATTTAATATAGTAGTATATCCGTAGATGTTCGCCATTTTACATTATTATAATTTGCACAAGTTCTACAGTTTAAAGATTAATTGGTTCACTTGCTTATTTATTTCCTATTTATGTAATCAATTTTATATCAATAAACGATTAAATAGGGAAAATAAAATAATAAATGAATTCTTCATTTTTCATCTTAAAAATCTATTCATATTCTTGGATATTTTTTATTTAGGTCCAAACTTATCCTTTCCTAAATCAATTCCAATTATTATTTTGTAATATAAGTTTGATAATTAGTTTAAGAATGTCTAATAAACATTTAGATAGCATGAAAATTTTAGTTAATAATAGCAATAGTGGTATTCAATCTAAATTGCGTCTTATCTTACTTGGTGGTTTTTGAATTTATAAATATAGATAATAAGTGCAAAGTAAATTATATGTAATTATATAATAAACATCATGATAAATAGAAGATTGAAGATATATATATTAATTTAATAACTTTTATTTATTTAAAGCTTGCAATCCTTTGTATTGATTTTCAAACAGAACATTACTGTATCTATCCACAATCTTTATTATATGAAGAGTTTCTATAAGAATAAATTCATTTTTAATTTATTATTTTTATGGAATAAACTAATTAAACTAATATAAAGATTTTTAATAATGATAATGTGTTTGATCTAAATATAAATTTCAATTTCATTTAGTATTTAAAGCTTTTAAACATTCATCTTAATATTAAGATATATATTACCTTTTCTATTTTTGGTCCATTAATGATTTGAATCAATCTTTAGAGCTTTTTCATAAAATAATAAGGCTTCTTAATAATTATTCTAATTTTGTAAACAATGCCCTTGAAAATATAACATACATCAACCTTTTGATTATAATGAACTCAAATGATTTGGGTTGATTGATAGAGATTAATCAATTACTTTCAAAGCTTCCTTATAATCTTTCAATAATCTTAATGAATCACCTTTAAACAAATAAATATGATCATACCTTTACTATATAATGATAATTAATGCTTTGTATTAAAACTTAATGCTTTATCTAATATTTTAATAGCCTCATCATATTATTTATCATTCGAATATATAATTGAATTAGTATTGATGGCGAAAACCCAAAATTAAATTTTTATTTTTTTTTCAATCTTAAACTATCTTTAGTTATCTAAAACTTTAATAAAACTATTTCTTAGCCAATATTTATCTTAAAAATATATAAAATAAAATATTATTCTTTTGCAGCTGATATAGTCAATTAATTTCATAAAATAGGACTTTCCCCTTGATTTATAGAAACATGTTTGTATGTATGATATCGAACGAAATTATGAATTCTTTTTGTTGAGTTTAATTTAGCCATTCCAAATATTCTTTGNTTTATTTATTTAAAGCTTGCAATCCTTTGTATTGATTTTCAAACAGAACATTACTGTATCTATCCACAATCTTTATTATATGAAGAGTTTCTATAAGAATAAATTCATTTTTAATTTATTATTTTTATGGAATAAACTAATTAAACTAATATAAAGATTTTTAATAATGATAATGTGTTTGATCTAAATATAAATTTCAATTTCATTTAGTATTTAAAGCTTTTAAACATTCATCTTAATATTAAGATATATATTACCTTTTCTATTTTTGGTCCATTAATGATTTGAATCAATCTTTAGAGCTTTTTCATAAAATAATAAGGCTTCTTAATAATTATTCTAATTTTGTAAACAATGCCCTTGAAAATATAACATACATCAACCTTTTGATTATAATGAACTCAAATGATTTGGGTTGATTGATAGAGATTAATCAATTACTTTCAAAGCTTCCTTATAATCTTTCAATAATCTTAATGAATCACCTTTAAACAAATAAATATGATCATACCTTTACTATATAATGATAATTAATGCTTTGTATTAAAACTTAATGCTTTATCTAATATTTTAATAGCCTCATCATATTATTTATCATTCGAATATAATTTATATCCTAAATTATAAATTTAATACCTTTTTAATATAATTCTTCTGATTTATTTATATATAAGTTAGATATTTGATAATAACTTAATTCAGTTAATTGTAATTCAGATATTAATTTTTCTATTTAAGATTAGAATTCATTTATGCATAATTATATTAATTACTTGATTATAAATTCAAATGATCTGAAATTTACACTTTATTATACATAAGAATTCATTTATTAAGAATTTAAGTTTAAGAATCATTGTTTAGATATTTAATATTTAGATCTTATTCCTTCAATTAATAAATAGAAGTCTTATTAAAGTAAATCCATTTATTTAGTCATCTTATTAGTTAAATCATCACATTCAATTTCAACTTATTAAATATGTTCAAACATTTTAGGCAATTCTTCTTAATGTTGAGGATGAGAAACATGAATTCAATTTTTTATACATTATATGCAATATAATCTCTCTTATTTACAAGATTCATCAAAGCATACTAATTTAACATTGTTATTATGCTCTGAATTTGGGCATTTGATACTTATATCATCATTTTAATTCATTATTAATATATTATTAAATCTTTATCTATTTCTATTAAAATACTTTTTATATTACAATACTTTTAAAATCTAATTTATATTCAAAAAAAATTAATATTTTAATTCATTGAGGACAATTATCCTTTGGAATGTTTTCAAGTTGAAGACTATAATGCTATACGTTTAAATAATATAATAATTAGAAATTTAAGTAACTAAAATACTCTTATTAGATAAAATTCGTCCTTTTCAAAGACTAATATATATACCATGATTTATTTCTTAGACTTTTTAATAGGGCTGTTATTTAGATTTATTTTCTATAAAGTATTTAGGATGGCAAAATAAAAATAATAAATTACAGGTATTGTAAAAAAAATTCAGTTGCTCAGTTTTACATAAATTTATGATTCTAATTTTTTTCTAATTTTACTCATAGAAGATCAAATTAGATTTTTAAACAATAATTTCAATAGCCTCTGTAATATAATACATTTGATTCTAATCTTATAGTTTTTTGTTTTCATTTTCGAAAAATTAATCATAAACACATATAATTTTGGAAATCTTGAAATTAAAAGCTATTAATTTCTTTTACCTATATATGAATGTCAGCTCACCTAAATGTGCTTTCCTATTAAATTTACTCTATCAATTTAAACTGAAATTTTTAATTCTTTAATGCTCTAATTAATAAATATTAATAATATAGGGTTAATAAATATAGAATATTTTGGGAATTAATATTTTTAATTTTTTAATTTTAAGAATCTCAACAATAATCTAAGAGAGACAAAAAATTCGTTTAAAAATATAGTTAAGTGCAAATTAGAGATAATTATGAATTGAGAAATTAATTATAGATTCAAAAATATTTTCATGAAAATATTTCAATTTAAATGTATTTTAGATATATCGTAGATTTTGCCTTTTAAATTTTCCTCAATATCTTTAGTGAGTTTGATTAATGTAGTATAATGCTTTTATTTTTTTCCATAATAAAATCTTTTTGAGTTTACAAGCAAAAAAGAAACAAAAGACTAATTAGATATTAAAAGGATGCAATTTAAGTTTCCAATATCTTGCTCTAGCCATACTTAACTCAAGAATTAAGGATTATCTGTTAATAAAATTAATTTCTAATAAGTCATAAACGAAATTTGATAAGAAATTTTTTCAACGAGATTTAATTCTTTTAATTTAATATTTTTGTGAAAAATTTACTATAACTTTTCATTAATTACACTTTAAGTATTTGGTTGAATGGGGATCTTTAAGCTTATAGCTGCTGCTCACTTAAATTCTTTCTAAAAAAATTAATTTATGTTTATTTAGGAGTAGAGCTATTGGAAATTTTAAAAACTTTAGTAAATCGAATTAACGAAATAATTTTGAGAAAATAGGCCATCTTTGTTTGCTGACAATTTTCCTGAATTCAAATTTCTAATATATGATAAGTATGGTTATCGTTTTCAAATTAATAATAGTAAGTTTTTGTAATAATTATCTAAATTTCATATAAAAAAATTAACGAAAATATTATCTATTACTTTGAATATTATTGTCTATATTAAATAATTGCTCAATTTCTATAAATTTTACTAATTCATTGTTAAATATTGTAATTAGAGTGCGATTTAAACAATAATAATTCTACTAATTCTTGATAATCAATATATGATTTAGAAATTTAACAAAAATTAGAAATTATTTATTATCTCTTTCTTTAATTTATCGAATAATATTAAGATATTAAAAAATTTAGCCTAGCATTGAATTTTGTTCATTTTCTTTTGTATCTCGAAGTAAAACTATTTTTCTTAATTTACTTTAGAGTTCAAAGATACTCTTAACTTCTTTTTATTCTAAAATTCTTCTGAATGTGTACTATTAGATTGAAATAACATTCTTCATTGAAGGGCATTTAATTTGTAGGATAATTGATATCAACCAAAAAAAAAATGCTTTACCCTTTGCATGGATGAGCATTAGAATAAAGTTTTCTAGAACTTTTTTTGATTTTTAATAATACTATTTTAAAGGTGAGTCATTATTTAGTATAAATAATTCTAATTGTTAACCTGTTATTTGAATTAATAAGCATTCAAACAAGTCACGGACCTTAGGCAGTAAATTCGACATATTCTTGGAAAAGAATTGTTTTTGGATCCAAATTATTATTCCTCCTCACCTATTTGGATTATGACGTCTCAATATATTAAAATACATATATGAAGGAGATTTAGTAATTTTTTTTCTTGTTTTCTGTAATCCTTTTAGTTTAGCTTCATTAAGAGTTTCTGATTTAATTGAAGAGACGTTTCACGAAAGTATAATTTAATTATTTTGAGTATCTGATTTTATATTTTGCGAGCATATAATCGCTTTGATACTCATGCTGTTGTTTGGCGTGCTATCATTAAAGTACAGTTCACTGCTTCCGCCTTTATTAAATTTGTTAATAAAAGAATAAACAATTTTCATTTTATCTAAATTATAAATATAAGAACAAGAATATCACTTAATAGGCAAAAGAATTTAAATTTTTATTTAAAATATGTTTTTATAAATATTAAATTATCTATTATTTAAAACAAAAATAAACTTTAGAATTGTAATTCAAGGTTTAAGTATAAATTGAAGACTGATTATAATAAATGTTTAAACCAAAAAGTTTAATTTATATGCATATAAAATACCCTTTAGTTAGAGAAATATGATAATAAATTTTTCAATAAATAAGTACTATTTAATTACTTTCAGTTACGAAATTACAATTTAATTGCTTATTAGTAGGAAAGCTTCGGAATAGAAACTCAAGGTGAGGCGTAGGGTAGCAAAAGGTAAGTTAGTTGTAACTTTTGTATATTATTGAGCTGAATATATTCAGAAGATTCACTGTTATTACTTTTTTTGAAGAAAAATAAATTAAATTATTTATCAGTAATGTTATTATTAAGTAAACAAAAGACTCATATTAAATTGAAAATAATACCTTTAAATTGCATTAATAAATATTAGATGAATGTTATTGACACTAATTGAAATCAATATGATTAAATTTAAAATTATCCATTTGAATTTCTACTATAATAAAAATAATAGAATTACCTAGAATTAAATCTTTTTATCGCAATACAATGATGATTCTTTTTAATAATTGATTATTTTTTTAATCTTTTTAAAGTCAAAAAAGATGAAGGCACTGGAAAAATTAGAATAGAGAAAGGGCTGGCTGCAATGAATAGTTGTAGCAACGAAAATAAAATCTAAGCTAAACCATTGTGATATAGGATAAAAAATTGCCATTTAATCCTCTTCGAATTTCTAGATCTAAACAAAAAGTTTTTTGGAATACAGTATAAATGGTTTAAACCAGATTAACATTTTTTCCTAGCATATTTAAATCTAATAAGGTAATCTTTGTTTAGTATATACTTAATTTTAAGATTACCACTAAAAATCTTTTATTTAACAAATAATATTTCTTATAATTTCAATATTTTTTATATGGATACATCAATGCATTATAGATCATTAAATATTACTGCACTAGTTCTAAAACAAAACTATTTCCTTTGTTTATCTATATCGTAATTAGGGATACAAATCACCAATTAAAATGCCTTTTTTATTTTTAAACTATATAATTACTACCATTTAACAGTATGATATAGTGGTATATATCTCATCAGGAATCATTAAATTTCAAATTCACAATCTTGTTTCAAAAAATAGTGTTTAAATCTATTAAATTTGGATTGATATATTAAATTATTCCAAAAAACAAGAAATTACAAATATCATCATAATTCTTAGTATGAAAAATTTAACCACCTTAATATATATTTAAATTTACTTCATTTATCCTTAAGAAGATTATACCATAAGATAAAGTTTTCCTATTTTTCCACTTGCTTATTTAAAATAATTTAGTAAACTATCCGATTTATATACTAACTATTCTTTTTATATGAAGAATAAATTTTGAATGCATAATTATAATATATTTTTTGATCAAACACTTATTCATCATATGTTTACAAGTTACTGTTCTTTATGGAATCTTCTTTTTTAAAAAGCTTTAGATTTCTAAAATGTTATTTCGAAAATTGAAGCTTAGTAGTTTTAATTGCGGAAAAAATAATTTTTAATCATTTTATCATAGTCAATATACTTGATTCCATAGAAAGACAGGTTATTACAAATCTTCATGCCCTAATAAATATTCTAACTAAGTTTCATTATTTAAAATTTATATTCTTCATCAAACTCTAAAAATTTTATAGATAATTCATTTTATATAATTATGATTACAAACAATATCTAAATCATCAGCATAAGCTATTACTTTAACTTATTGGGATTACAAAATAATTATTTTTTGATGTTTTTATTCCCATTTTGAATCTTAAATTATTTTCATATCCTGAATTAATTTAAACAATTATTCAATTTTCTCATTAAAGTAAATATTAAATAGAAAAGGAGCTAACAATGACCCTTAACAAACTCCAAATGTAAAAACCTTTCTCATTTGGATAATATATATATAATCAGAATCCATTGTAAAAAATCCAACTCATTAGGCTCATGATATTAAGAATATCTAATTTAACTTCTCAAAATTTCATCTTGCAGGATTTTAGCTAAGTATTTAAGTTCAACTAAATCAAAAAAACAAATTTATATTAGCACCATATTATTTATTTAATCCTCATAGAATCTTAGAATAAAGTTCATGGAAGATTTAATTTCATTCTCATATATTATTTTAGTGCTCCAAAAATTAAAATTAAGGTAAATCAATAAACGCTATTAAAATAAATTTATTAATATAGATTTCAAAATTTTAATCTGGATCTCAATTGCTTATTTTTCATAAAATCAATTCAAGATTTAGTTACTTATTTTATATCTACAGTTTTCTTAGTGAGTTCATCCTCCTTTACAATATTTAGAATATTTGATAATCAAGTAAAAGATTTTTATATTTATTATTTAAAAATTATTCATTATAAAATACTAGACCTAGAGTATTTGTCAAAAATTTATATAACAATATATTATGATATTTTTTTATCTTAAATTTTATATAAATAATAACTAAACCCTATTATTCTTTAAATCATATTATTTGATAATCTGTATTTTTTTTAAATCTTAAAATAAAAATTATTAAAATTGATTTAGGCCTTTATCTCTCATTTAATTATTTTATTTAAGTTTATGTATAACTATTTCGAATCATTTAATGTAATTTTATTTTGCTCTTTTTACAAAATTGCTTTTAAATTTACTGAGTATAGAGTAAATTAAATAAAATAATTTAATATAGATAAATATCATTTTTTATTTTTTTAATTACTAGTTAATATAAAAATATTTAAATGGACTGCGGATTCTATCGTTAAAATATCAAAAAAAAATAGCTAACCAAACTCTTCCTTAGAGGAAAATTACGTACGTTATTGTTTAGTGACTGAAGATTATTTAAAAGGATTCGAGAGTCAGTATAAATAGCCAAAATAGATAAATAGTGGCTATTAATAGTAATAACCCTTCTAATAACAGTCGAATTATTCAGGAAACTACTCTTCTTAATCTAATTAGATATACTAACAACAATAACCTTTCTAATAGCATAGGATATAACAATAATTATTTTATTAGCCACCAATTTAATACTACCCACCATACCAACAGGATAACTATCCATTATAATAATCTAGATCATAATTATAGAATTATTAAAACAGTAATCAAAAACTTCAAAGTTTAACATTTGCTGATTGGGTATGGCCGAAAGGTATAATACCATATAATATTGATGAATCCTTTACATATCAGATGAGAAAAACCTTATAATGAGCAATTAACGAATTTGAATAAAAAACTCCTATTCAATTTGTTAAAATACGTAATCCTCGAGAATATAATCAATATGTAAAATATTATAAAAGCCGAATTAATTAGAGTTATGTATTATGGATTGGGAGATCATTATCTAGAAAAGAACATCCTGTTTATATAGATGATAAATTTCCTTATGGAACATATCTTCACAAAATAATGCATATTCTGGGCTTTAATCATGAATAATGTAGGTAGGATAGAGATAATTATGTCTCTGTATAATTTTCTGAAAAAGATTCTCTGAACCTAAAGTATTAATATGAAAAAAAGGGTTTTATGAAGAGTGATTATGATCCTCAATCGATTTTGCATTACTATNATTGATTTAGGCCTTTATCTCTCATTTAATTATTTTATTTAAGTTTATGTATAACTATTTCGAATCATTTAATGTAATTTTATTTTGCTCTTTTTACAAAATTGCTTTTAAATTTACTGAGTATAGAGTAAATTAAATAAAATAATTTAATATAGATAAATATCATTTTTTATTTTTTTAATTACTAGTTAATATAAAAATATTTAAATGGACTGCGGATTCTATCGTTAAAATATCAAAAAAAAATAGCTAACCAAACTCTTCCTTAGAGGAAAATTACGTACGTTATTGTTTAGTGACTGAAGATTATTTAAAAGGATTCGAGAGTCAGTATAAATAGCCAAAATAGATAAATAGTGGCTATTAATAGTAATAACCCTTCTAATAACAGTCGAATTATTCAGGAAACTACTCTTCTTAATCTAATTAGATATACTAACAACAATAACCTTTCTAATAGCATAGGATATAACAATAATTATTTTATTAGCCACCAATTTAATACTACCCACCATACCAACAGGATAACTATCCATTATAATAATCTAGATCATAATTATAGAATTATTAAAACAGTAATCAAAAACTTCAAAGTTTAACATTTGCTGATTGGGTATGGCCGAAAGGTATAATACCATATAATATTGATGAATCCTTTACATATCAGATGAGAAAAACCTTATAATGAGCAATTAACGAATTTGAATAAAAAACTCCTATTCAATTTGTTAAAATACGTAATCCTCGAGAATATAATCAATATGTAAAATATTATAAAAGCCGAATTAATTAGAGTTATGTATTATGGATTGGGAGATCATTATCTAGAAAAGAACATCCTGTTTATATAGATGATAAATTTCCTTATGGAACATATCTTCACAAAATAATGCATATTCTGGGCTTTAATCATGAATAATGTAGGTAGGATAGAGATAATTATGTCTCTGTATAATTTTCTGAAAAAGATTCTCTGAACCTAAAGTATTAATATGAAAAAAAGGGTTTTATGAAGAGTGATTATGATCCTCAATCGATTTTGCATTACTATTTAAATAAAAACATGATATCTAAAAGTGAATATAAGAATTATTAATTTGGATAAAGATCATAGTTAAGTGAAGGAGATATAAATGCCATTTAATTGGTTTATGGAAAAAGTTAATGTACTTTTGAAGATCTCATAATCAATCGAAGTACATTTTAAGATCTACTTAAAACAATTTTAATTTAAACTTAAAATGGTTTATTTAGGAGTGAAAAGAAAAAAATAGAAAAAGGGTGATAGCCTCCCATTAAGACAAACAAATTTGCTATCTACAAATAGAATAGATTGGCAGATGATGATAATTAAGTTAACTAATAAATTATCTAAAAAGCAAATAAAATTTAGAAAAAACAATCAATTTTAATCTAACTAATTTTGAAGCATGGTCCTAAATTAGGTCAAGAATTCAGGACTATTTTTTGGTCTATAGAGTATCTCTCTTTAGATTTAGAAAGAAACTTTATATTGTTTAGAAAACGCTGCTTAAACTATATTGCAAATTGTGCCATTCAAAATTAAGGGGTGAGAATTATTTAGAAATGGATTTAATCAGTAGGATTCCTTTAAGGAAACTTTTTTTTTCTTAACAAGGCTAATCTAGTCTAAGGGTCAAGCAATGCAACCCATTTTGAAAGAAAAAGTTTATTTTATTATTTATTTATGAGCTTCAAATATTGTTATAGATTATCGTTTAAAAAAAACTTAAAAAGATATTACTTTATCAGGTGAATAGCTTCTAAAAAGGCTCATTCAAGAACTTATTTTATACGTCATCAAAGATAAAATTCTGGTCTCTATCGGGAAATTTTCACCCAGAGATGCAAACAGAGTATTATCTTATGGTAGAATAAATTGCAAATCAGATAATGAGACTATCAATTCTTATTCATCTGGTATTAATCTTAATTTGTATCTTATCATATTACAAGGTATATTTACTTAGAATTCAGATAACAATGTGTGGAAAGTAAAAATGATTCCTAAAATTAGTTTAACACCTGAAGGTTCATAATTAATATAATATAAATTAGATAATTCTAATTCAACTCTATTAGCTATATTCATAAACTCTATTTAGATCTAAATTTACTTAAATCTTATAACTTAAGATTTTGATTTCTGCTTTGAATTTTGAAATTCCCAGCTAGCAACAAGCTTTTTTTATTACTGTTCTTATAAAAAAAATAAAGCTATCATTATATGAATGATTGTGTTTGATGATACAAGTTGATAGTAATATCTATTTGATAGAATTTTAAACATGCAGCCAACAAAATTTTTTTAGATCATTGCGAAATTTTTTTTTCTTATTTGTAAAGTCATCATAATATTCTAACAAACTAAATTTTATTTGACTCTTTTCCAAGACTAAATTGAAACAAAAAATAAAATAATTTGCAGATTTATATAACAAAAGTTTAAAAAATAAGAATAAAACAGAATATTTAAGTGAAATTTGGAAAATCTATTTGCTTAAAAATCAAGACAAAATATTAAAATAAATATCAAAAAAATGTTTAAGTTCTTTATATTTGCATTAATAAGTGTCCTTCTTATTTTAGAATTGAAAAGAGTAAATTTTAATTCATGATAGTTCCCATCTGCTTGAAAATTCAAACATCATCAATCTGATTCTACCCTAAATTATTGGTTATTTATAACCTTTCTTGTTGAAAGATGTCAATAATAAGAATCAATATTGTAAAAGCTATGAATCAATAATAAAAGATTCGATTTTCATGCTTTTCACAACATTTCTTACTTATATTATAAAGGTTTTGAAGGGAAACTTTTTTTTGGAATGAGAATGTACTTTTTATTTTGAATATATTTATGTAGGTAAAAGTACTTCCTAAATCAATGATTTTTCAATTTCTTTTTTTTGTAATTTTATAATCCTATAAAACTAAAGTTAAAAATTAAAAATATGATATAATATTAGATGTAAATCTAAATTTTATGATATAATAATGCTTCATAACTTTTATAGCTATTTCTCTACATAATCTTTCTAATCTGATCCTTTTTCCAATGCAGCCATATATAATTCATTAGCTTCATTTTTGTTTCCTAATTCAAATAGCGAATCAGCTTATATTTAATTAAGAATTGCATACCTTTTAGCCTTAATACTAGAGGATTAATATAAATTGAAAGAGCTTAATCGTAACATAAAATAGCATCTTTGTATTTCTTTAATTTATGTAATGCAACTCCTAAATTAAAACATAAGATACCTTTTTTAATCCATGCAGAACCATCTTTAGAATTAATTTAGATAGCTTATTCGTAACACTCAAAAGCTTTATTGTATTTCTGTAAATTATATAATGCAAAACCTAAATAATAGTAGTTTAAATTAGTTACCCTTATCTCTCCATGCTATATCGCATTAAGGATTAATTTGAATAACTTGGTCATAACACTCAATGGCTTCAGTAAATTTTTGTAATTTACTTAAAGTTTAGCCTATAAGAAAAAAAAAATTATTACCCTTATTAATCCATGCTGAATCATTTTTAGGGTTATTATATATAGCTTTGCTGTAACAGTCATTAGCTTCTTTATATTTTTGAAGTTTATTTAAAGCCTAACCTAACATATACAGCTTAACAATTGGTTACCCTTATTTATATATGCAGATTCAAAGTAATGATTAATTAAGATAGCTTTGTCGTAACACTCAATAGCATCTTAGTATTTCTGTAAATTATGTAAGGTAAGCCCTAATTAATAGTAGTTTAAATTATTTACCCTTATCATTCCATGCTTGTTCACATTTAGGATTAATTAAGAGAACTTTTTCATAGCACTCAATAGCTTCCTAGTATTAGCATAATTTATCTAAAACTTAACCTAAAAAATAAATGATTGAAAAATTTGTTACCCTTATTAATATATGCAAGATCAAATTAAGGATTAAATAAAATAGCTTTTTCATAACACTCCATAGCTTATTCATATTTCTGTAATTTACTTAAAGCCTAACCTAAATAGTAATGTTTAAAAATTAAATACCCTTATTGACCCATGTTTAATCACATATAGGATTAATTAAGGCAGCCTTGTGGTAATACTCATTAGCTTCTTAGAATTAAAATAATTTTTCTAATGCTAGACCTAAATCAAAATAATTAAAATAAATTACCCTTATTCAACCATGTCTAATTATTATTCGGATTAATGAAGATAGCTTTATCGTAACAAAAAATAGCTTCTTAGTATTTCCGTACATTTTGTAATGCAAGACCTAAATAATAATAATTATTTAACATTACTTACCTTTACTAATCCATGCAGAATCTTATTAAGGATTAATTAAGAGAACTTTATCATAATAATCAATAGCTTCTTAGTATTAATATAATTTATCTAACGCAAGACCTAAATAATATAGGTTTACAAATTACTTACCCTTATGATACAATGCATAACTATTTCTAGGATTAATTAAGATTGCTTTGTTGAAACAAGCAATAGCATCTTTGTATTTTCGTAAATTATGTAAGGCAAGACCTAAATAATGGTTACAAATTATTTACCTTTATTAATCCATGCAGAATCACATCTAGGACTAATTAAGATAGCTTTATCGTAACATTCAATTGCTTCTAAGTATTTCCGTAAATTATTTAATATAAGACCTAATTAATAGTAGTTTAAATTATTTACCCTTATCATTCCATGCTTGATCACATTAAGGATTAATTAAGAGAACTTTTTCATAGCACTCAATAGCTTCCTAGTATTAACATAATTTATCTAATGCAAGACCTAAATTAAAATGCTTTTCAAATTACTTACCCTTATTACTCCATGCAGAATGATTTTAAGGATTATTTAAGATAGCTTGGTTGCAACATTCAATTGCCTCTTAGTATTTCTGTAATTTATTTAATGTAAAACCTAAATAATAACCCTTAAAAAATTATTACCCTTATTATTCCATGCAGTATAATACAAAGGATTAATTAAGATAGCTTTGTCGTAGCACTCAATGGCTTCTAAGTATTTCTCATAATTATGTAATGCAAAACCTAAATAATAATTCTTAAAACATTATTACCCTTATTATTCCATGCGATATAATATAAAGGATTAATTAAGATAGCTTTGTCGTAACATTAAATGGCTTCTTAGTATTTCTATTAGTTTTGTAATGCAAAACCTAAAATTTTAATATAAGCTAGCACCTTCATTTAATAATCTATTAACTTCTTTAACATTTTACTGTTATACATCATCACTCACCTGATTAATTTCTTTTTACTAGCCTGAATTCTAAACAACAATTTCTTCTGGTACCATCTTCTTTATTGTATCTAGAATAATATTCAATTTTAATATTTGTTTCTCTATAATAATTATTAAATAAACACATATGTAATTTTCTTTTTCCTTTGAGTAAAGCTGCTTTATTATGTGAATTTAAGACTTAAAACTCAAATAATCTTGGTTCAAAAGTTGATGAGGCATAATTTCTAATAACTTAATATCCTAATCCATTTTTTTTTAAATGTGTTCAAAAAATTTCTAAAATTGTTTTGAGATTTCTTAGAAGTATATCTTTGATTGATTGCATTTTTGAATTAATTCATTTATTAATTCGATCATTTTAGTGAATCGAATACAATCATTAAAATGTTCTAAATGAGTTGAACTTAAACATTCATAACAGTATTGACTTGCATTTTAACAATTCTGATTCAAACAAAATCCAATTATTTCTTCATTTTCATGGGTAACATATTTACACTTAAAGATTTCCATTTTTTAATCTAAATAAATAAAAATAATTAATAAATCTAATATACCATAAATTAAGAATATAAATTACATTAATAATATGAAATCAATTATTGATTTAATTAAGCCAATGAACCATTATGTGGAATTAATAGTTTAAGTAACACCACCAACTTTTTTGCAATTTACTAATAAACTAATTATTTTTTCGAAAAATTCAAATTATAAATCAAAAATAATCGATTAATAAAACTAAATTAATTTTTGCAAAAGATAATATAAACTATTTGATTCCATATTAACATGACGAATTGGTAAAATATACTAGAATTAATTTGGCAAATTTAAATTTTATAATATTTATTGTAAAGTCAAACTTATTAAAAAATAAAAATTCCAAGATTTTAGTGATTTGCTTATAAGCTGATTTTTGGTGCATCTATTTATCATTATCATCTAATGAAAAAGAATAAATCTAAGAAAAAGTCTTTGTCAAAAATTTCATATTACTATATTATTTTGGAGAAAGTTTAATGAAGCCAGAAGTTAGATTCATGTAGGGTCCAAGGATGTGAATCCACATCAAAGCATTATATTTGGAAGGGACTTTGAGATATTAAGTATGCCAAGTTCTTTTGTACAGCTTTGGAAGAGGCAGCTATCTTTGTTTCTTAGAAATGAAGTCAGGTGGATTGGCTGTCTGTAAAAGCTTCAGCTCTAGAGACATCGTAACTTTTGGATCAGTTCCATAAAACTAAGTTATATGAACCGAGTCATATACTTGTGTCTGAATTATCAGATTCATCCGTGCTATGAATATAAATTAAGAGTTCTTTGTTCTTAGACCTTATTTTTAGGAATTTAAATTCAAATGAAATACACCTTATCAATGATGCATAACAGAAAGGCACTAATAAAGTCACAGATTTTGGATAGAAATCTTAATTTAAATCATATGTGATTTGATATTATATTTAAAATATTAAATATATTAGATATTGAAATATTCAAAGTTGAAAAAATTATAATGCATTTTGATTCTTTAACAAATAATATAATGAATTAAATTTTAAAATAGATGAAATTAACTGTTAATAATGTTGCACATGATGCTTTTGATTTAATATCATGAAAATTCAATTTGGCTATTCAAAATACAACTTCCTCTTTCTTTGAATAAATATCGCAAATCTCTGCCTTAATGATTATGAAATTCTCCTTTAAAAATGAGAGCTCCATATGCTTCAAAATGGATATATTGGGCTATACGTAAAATAGTAACAACATGGTTTACTAAATAAAATCAAATAAATACCACCTTCTAAAAATTAATTTTATTAAACTGATGTTTTGAATTGATCTTATACATCCATAATACTTTTATATTAAGGAAGAATTTATGTTCCTGTATTGATTTCCCACAAGCGAATAGATTAATCATCACTCCCAGATGCAAATATATTGCCTCCAGAAGAGAAGCATATTGATTGAATCCATTTACTATGACCATATAATTGAAATTTTTATTGGCCTTTTTAAACATCCCATAAACGGATAGAGAGATCTCCACTACCAGATGCCAATGTGGCTCCATTTGGAGAGAAGCATATTGATAATACTCTACTACTATGGCCATTTAAGTTAGATTTATGTTTTCCAGTCTTAACATCCCAAAAACGAATTGACTTATCATAACTACACGATGCTAATATAGCACCATCAGGAGAGAAGCACACTTATGGTACATAATCAGCATGACCATATAATTTAAATTTTGACTATCCTGTCTAAACATTCCATAAACGGATTGACTTGTCATCACTACCAGATGCTAATGCAGTACCATCTGGAGAAAAGCATACTGATCGGACACTATTACCATGACCATACAATTTCAGCTTCAAATGTCCTGTCTTAACATCCCAAAAACGAATAGATTCGTCATCGCTACCAGATGCTAATGCAGTACCATCTGGAGAGAAGCAAACCGACCAGACTCTCTCACTATGACCGTCTAATTTGAATATTTATTATCCTTTCTGAACATCCCATAAACGGATTGAATTGTCATCACTACCTGATGCTAATGCAGTACCATCGGGAGAAAAGCATATTGATCTGATATCACTCCTATGCCCATCTAATTAAAATTTTTATTTTTCTGTCTTTAAATCCCATAAAAGAATAAAAAAATCTCCACTACCTGATGCTAATGTAGCGCCATCTGGAGAGAAGCATAATGAATTGACAGAATCTTTATGACCTTCTAATTTGAATTCTTATTGTCCTGACTTTACATCCCATAAACGGATAGACTTATCTGCACTACAGGATGCTAATGTAGTACCATCAGAAGAGTAGCATAAATATTGAACTCTATTAATATGGCCATCTAATTTGATTTGTTACTATCCAGTCTAAACATTCCATATACGAATAGAATTGTCATCACTACCAGATGCTAATGCAGTACCATCAGGAGAAAAGCATACTGATAGGACACTATTACTATGACCATACAAATTCAGCTTCAATTGTCCTGTCTTAACATCCCAAAAACGAATAGAATTGTCATCACTACCAGAAGCTAATGCAGTACCATCTGGAGAGAAGCAAACCGACCAGACTCTCCCACTATGACCGTCTAATTTGAATATTTATTATCCTTTCTGAACATCCCATAAACGGATTGACTTGTCATCACTACCAGATGCTAATGTAGTACCATCAGGAGAGAAGCTTACTGATTGAACTCTACCACTATGTCCTTCTAAAATTAGGCTTTATATTCCTTTCTTTACATCCCATAAACTAATTGACTTATTTGAACCACCAGAAGCTAGTATTTTACCATCAGGAGAGAAGCTTAATGAATTTACAATTTAGTTATGGCATTTTAATTTACATAGTTTTTTTCCTGTCTTAACATTACTTAAAAAAATAAAACCATCCTGATTACCAGATGCTAAAGTAAGGCCATTAGGAGAAACGCATATTGATTAGGCATCATATTAATGACCAAATAATTACGTTATTTTTCTTCCTGTTCTTACATTCCATAATTTTATAGATTTATCTTTACTACAAGAAACTAATTAAGTACCGTCAGATGAGAAGCAAATGGATCGGACATAATCATTATGGCCATCGAGTTAAAGTAACTCCTGTATTTTTAAATTATTCCATTTACAATTAAATAATAAAGCTCCATTCAAATTTGCTCCACTTATGTCTACATTTGAAAATTCAGATCCACTCAAATTACACTAAAGTAAATTTGCTCCAATCAAAGAAGTATCTTTAATCCTGATGTTTTCAAAGGATTGCTATTTAAAATTAACTTTCATTTCAACTAATAAATTAAGTGAATTTGATCCGCACCTTATCAATTTATTATCTAGAGCTGTTAGGTTAACTAAAAATAAAAAAAATTCCCTGATCTTTTAATTCTCTTATATTTTCTTAATTAGTTCTTGTCTAGTTTCTCTGTAAGTTTCTTCAGAATAATTATTTTCATTAAAATCATGATCCAATATTGTTTAGATTAGGTTAGTAATCTTCTAAATGTTAGATTTTCCTAGTAATAGCTATTATTCCTTTTCAACAAATTATAAATTTTTCATCTACAAAAAATATTATTCATAATGCTTTTCATTGTCAGGTTTTGAAAGAAATTCTAGACAATCAGAAATTTTTTCTCTTCTCAATATATCAATGATCACCCTGTAAAATGAATCATCGATGTCTTTAGATTAAGCTAAAACTTCATACAAATCATCTTTCTTTTTAAAAGTGCAAGACATTTAACTTATTTAAAATAAATATTGATTATTATAAAAGCGAGTGAATTTTACCTCAAATTAAACATTTAATAAAACAAAACAAGAAAAGTAGGATTATATTTAATATCATTAAATACTTTAATAAAAGTGTATAGAATCATCCAGCATCCATCAAAGAGTTAAATTATTACAATAAATGCTTTGGAATTATTCGAAAAGAAATTTTATTTATATAAAAATACCGATACTATTAGCATACTATAAGAATTATTTTGAGTTTAAATAAAGAAATTTGATAAGTGAATTAAGTAAAACGAATGTAAATTAGATTCTCCAAAATCAATAAAAAATTTTCTTACATTATATATATGATTTCTATTTAAATTAATAAAATAACATTTTTTAATACAGCATTCATTTTGAATTACTTTGAGACCTACTAGGTCTTCATTTTTTTATCGTAATTTTTCAATTTACCTATTTTAATCTTCCTCTAAGAAATCAAACACTTACAAATATTATAATTATTAGTCACATGAAAAAAGAATTTACATTGTTTCATTCCGAATATAAATATTTTGAATAAAGAAAATCAGAATCAATAAATTGTTTATTGGAAAAATAACTTATCTTATAACCTTAACTTAATAAATATAGAATAAATATACTATTAGTTTTTTCATTATCTCCTATTGTATCAATCACAGATAACTGTTTATTTAAAATTATTTTTTCCAAAATTAGTTCATATAAAAATATTTTTGAAGTGTTTAATTATTTAGAAATGAATATTGATTCATTTACACTATTATATTTAAATTAAATTATTTTTTTTATTTTCTTATGAATTTAATTTTTTTTTTAAATTGTTCTATTATATGGCTATCATTTTGCAACTAAGATATTTCACAGATGTTTTTTTCAACTTAGATAAAGATGAAGTTTCAATGAATAACAAAGGGCAATAAGTTAGTTTTAAACTTAATTTTTTTCCAATCTTCGTAATCACTTGTAAATTCAAACCTAAATTTCTTTCTCTTTAATTAATAGATTTACACACCAATTCTAAATTTTCAAATCAGAAACATAAATTTCATTACTAATTGTTTAATTATCATAGTTTTTTATTTTAACTTGAGGTTGCTTTTAACAAAATGATATTATGAAAAGAAATTGAGTTCTAGATTTGAAGCTTTAATTTTTTCTTAGCTATTTATTTGATAAAGAAATACTTTTGCAAACAATCTTAACTTGCCATATTATGATTAATATGAAAAATCTTGACACCTTAATATTTCAATCAAATTATTAAAATGAATTTAAATATTAACTTCCTTAAATTTTTTGAAAAGTAAAGATCTTTAGTTAATCTCAAATTTAATCAACCTTGAATAATTATTAAAGTTTCCTTATTATTATTTTATTAAATATCTGCTTTCAGAATTGCTCATTATTTAAACACGGAGTTGATATTTCATCATCATTCTTAGATATTGTAACTTATATATATATTAAAGCAATATCAGCCATACAAAAATCTTATATTGCGAAGGATTCATTAAATTTATTTTGAAAATAGATGTTTAGACTAAATAATGTAAATAATTAAATTCTCAAAAATTTAATCTTAAAATTGAATGATAGTATGATTCTTAAGGAAGCACTCAGAACTTAAAAACAAAAAGAGGAGATAAAATAAAAGAAACCAGAACCAAGTACCTTTATATAAGAAAAATAATTGCAGTTTAACATATTTAGTTTTACTAGATTATAATCACATTTGCTTTTCTAAAAATTGATTTTAGCCTTCGAATAAATAGGAGCCTTTTTATTTTAAGAGTAATCCTAAATCAATACCTAATTGATTCATAAAATATCCATTAAAAATCAGAGCTCCTTCTGCTTAAAATATAAGTTTTTGAGAAATAAGAAGAATTGTAATTGGTGTGGTAGCTAATAAAATTAGAAATTAATACTATTATGGAATAATGAATTAGCTTAATGAGGTAATTTTAATTAGGCAAGAATATCCTTTAAATTTTTATCCGAGTCTAGGATTTAATATCCTGTCTTAAAATCCCATAAGCGGATATAACAATCTTTACCACTATTAAGAATACCCCTATAAGATGCTAATAAAGTACCATCAGGTGAAAAGCATACTGAATTTACAAAACTATCATGACCCTCCAATTTGGCTATTTATTATCCTGTCTAAACGTGCCATATACGGATAGACTTATCATCACTACCAGATGCTAATGTGGCACTATCAGAAGAAAAGCAAAACGAATTGACAAGACTAGTATGCCCACATAATTTCAATTTAAATTTTCTGGTTATAAGATTCCATAATTTGATATGCTTATCATCACTACCAGATGCTAATGTAGTACCATCAGGAGAGAAACAAACTGATTGAACATGATTGTTATAACATTTTAATATTGCATCTTATCTTCGTGTTTAAACATTCCATAAAACGAATGGAACCATCTCCAAAACTGGATGCTAATGTAGAACTATCTGGAGAGAAGCATACTGACCAAACCGCACCACCATTGGCATATAATTGATGCAATTGATTTATTTTATATTTTTCCATTTTCAATTAAATAATTATGCCCCATTCAAGTTCATTCTGCTTATACATACATTTTCGAAATAAGATCCGCTCAAATTGCATCTTACAAAGTTCGCTCCAATCAAAGAAGTGTTTTTGATCTTGATGTTTTCAAAGCTTTTTTTTGTAAGATCAATCTTCCTTTCAATTAATAAATTTAATGAATTAGATCCACTTTAGATGAATTAGTTATCCAAAGATGTAAACTGAAGTAAAAATTATAAAGATTTGATGATCTTCTAATCCTCTTTTATATTTTCCTTTAAACTTTGTCTCGTTTGCAAATAGATTTCAGTGGAATAGTCATTTTAATTAAAATCATGGTCTCTTATTTATTTGAGAATATTAATTATTATCTTAATGTTATTTGTTACTACATTTAACTTCTAATCTTTATCAACATCTTCTTGTTATAGATATCCTAAACTATCTGAATATTTTCTTTTCTAAATATTTCAATTATCACACTGAATATTTATTCATTAACATCTTTAACATTAGATAAAATCTCCGATAGATCTTCTCTCTTTTCATTAGTGCATTAAATTTTCTCTATTTTAATTTAAATTTCTATTACTTTTTTTTTATTATTATATAAATACTGTAAAAAATTATTTTATGTAATTTTTTATGGAGACTAGACTTTTTGGAAATTTAGAGTCGATTGAAATGTAGGAATAATTACTCTTTAGATATATATAAAAAACTATTTTTAATGCATCATTTATGATTTTATAAAAAAAAATTCTATATCACAAGTGATTTATTTGATCATATTTTTATCATCAATGTAGGTCGATGCTTAAAAATTACTCTAATAATTAATGAAAAAAAGAAAAACAAAGATAAGTATTAACAACCTCTTAAATCTCCTATTTTTATAATTATGAATTTTTAATAGGTTTTATGTTATTATAATTATAATAGCTTGAGAATGTTTAATCTGAGTTTGAAATTGTTTTTTGTTTATTTTCAATTGAATACTAAAAATACATGTATATCCGTATGATTCAACATATTATTGAAAGTTATTTGATGCAATACCTTTAAAAATTATGGTATAATCTACTCAATTTGAATGCAATAGTTTAATATCATTGATACCAGATATTCTTTAAAACCCTAATAATTCTAATCTGAGCTCTGAAGATTTATTTTTATTTTGTATATGTTTAAATTGAAAGGTTGATTTTATATATTAAAATAATAATATAAATAAAACTGTAATTATAAANTTAATTAAAATCATGGTCTCTTATTTATTTGAGAATATTAATTATTATCTTAATGTTATTTGTTACTACATTTAACTTCTAATCTTTATCAACATCTTCTTGTTATAGATATCCTAAACTATCTGAATATTTTCTTTTCTAAATATTTCAATTATCACACTGAATATTTATTCATTAACATCTTTAACATTAGATAAAATCTCCGATAGATCTTCTCTCTTTTCATTAGTGCATTAAATTTTCTCTATTTTAATTTAAATTTCTATTACTTTTTTTTTATTATTATATAAATACTGTAAAAAATTATTTTATGTAATTTTTTATGGAGACTAGACTTTTTGGAAATTTAGAGTCGATTGAAATGTAGGAATAATTACTCTTTAGATATATATAAAAAACTATTTTTAATGCATCATTTATGATTTTATAAAAAAAAATTCTATATCACAAGTGATTTATTTGATCATATTTTTATCATCAATGTAGGTCGATGCTTAAAAATTACTCTAATAATTAATGAAAAAAAGAAAAACAAAGATAAGTATTAACAACCTCTTAAATCTCCTATTTTTATAATTATGAATTTTTAATAGGTTTTATGTTATTATAATTATAATAGCTTGAGAATGTTTAATCTGAGTTTGAAATTGTTTTTTGTTTATTTTCAATTGAATACTAAAAATACATGTATATCCGTATGATTCAACATATTATTGAAAGTTATTTGATGCAATACCTTTAAAAATTATGGTATAATCTACTCAATTTGAATGCAATAGTTTAATATCATTGATACCAGATATTCTTTAAAACCCTAATAATTCTAATCTGAGCTCTGAAGATTTATTTTTATTTTGTATATGTTTAAATTGAAAGGTTGATTTTATATATTAAAATAATAATATAAATAAAACTGTAATTATAAAATTATTTAAAAAATTGGTCATAAATTTAAGTATGAAAATATCATTTGCAAATAAAGCTAACATTGTGTTAAACAAGATCATATGCCTATTTCTTACTGATAGGATTTCTAATTATTAAAACATTTCTTTTCCAATTTTTGATCCTGTTTATTTTGAATACTGCAAGGACACTTACTAATTAGTGTTGTTGCAATTTCCAATAATCATATTAAAAATAGTATAGAGAGACTTAAACATGGAGAAAAATCAATAAAATATAAAATCAGAAAGAATTTAATTACTATAATCAGAATAATCTGTTTCAACATTATTACTCTTTTTAAATATTATACTTACTTCATTTAAAATTCATTAGCAAGAGGGCCTTTTATTAATATCTAGAGTATAATTTTGATTTACGGCCTGAGATTTTCAAAGGCATTATGATGCTCTAATTAAGAACAAAAAAATATATTTTTAAGTATAAAACTATTAAACTCAAAATTTGATTTGATTAATCAATTCAATTAGAAATAATTTGAAATACTATATGAAATTTATTGTGATATTAGTAGACATTTTATAGAATTTCATGAAAAATCAAAATAGAAAAGGAAAGCCTAAATTAGGATAAGTCTGTTCCCTAATTCTTTTTAAAAGTTGTTCATATATTTAAAAAGTGCAAGAAATAGTAATATCTTTATTATTTAACTTTTCATTCTTCAAAAGACAAGTAAGATGTAATGCCATAAAATCAGGAGTTAAAGAAATTGAAAATATGTTTGAAATACCAAGTTTGAATTCTTGTTTGAATTAATTAAAGAAAGATTATTGCATTTTTCAAAAGGGATAATAGGTTATGAGAAAGTTTTTTCTATTTTTAAAAGAAATATCTAATATTTCTGAATGTAAAACTAAATGGAGCTATAATCTAAATATAGAATTTCATTATTCAATGGCTCATGCTAACAAATATTAATATATATAAGTTTTTCTCAATAAAGCATTCGAAGGCTTCTTAATACACTCCAAAAATATTTTAATTTCATTCTTTTGTTAAATACCATTATTAACTCAAATTTAACCAAAAACTATTATTTTTTAGTTTTCACTACTCATTTAAATTGACAATTTTCTCTCATATTACTTTTTAATTTGTTCATAATTTACATCATCATATGAATTTTAGTTTATCTAATACTTAGCTACAAATTATGTTATATATCTAATTAATTACTTGGATATTTATTATATACTTCATATTTTGTTTTTTATGTCTGAAATCTAACATTCAATTATTTGATATTTCAATGAATTTACAAAAAATGTTAATATTATGTGAATTTGCATTTAGAAAACCATAAATTTTTCACTAATTCAAAAAAAAAAAAAGCAAATCCATAAATCAAAAAGTAAAGCATCCAAATTAGATTCTACTAATTCCTATTTTTTTGGCTATTGTATTATTGAGATACAATTATAAAATGTAATTGTTAAGAAATTTAAATAGGTAATTTCTTCAATTTAAATATCAACCCATTTTCAATTGTTCCAAACTAGCATTAGAATAGATGTTATTTAAATAATTATTTATTTTACATAGAATATTTGTTTGCTTGTATTTATATTATTATCATACTTTAATCTCAATCTCACTCATTACTTTGAATCTCTTCTTATATTTCAAAATTATTTTAGAATTACAATAAATTCTCATTATTCTCTCAGCCTAATACTTCTATTTAATTAATTTCTTTCAAAGATGTTTTTATTATTAGAACTTTCCTTATAAATCTGTTTGCTTTTTGGTTTCTTCACTTATTTATGTATGTATTTTTTGAATTTGATCTTTTATTTTACTTTATTTTTTTTCTATGCGTGCTCAAATGTTGTTTAAAAAATATGAAGTCTTTTTGATCTAATCATTTATGTATTTTACACTTTAAGTTTTCTTTATCTATATAATATATACAAATACTATATATCTTATTAAGTTAGTCCTTTTTAACTGATTTGTGGTGAGTTATTTGAAATACGAATGAATTGGGGAAACAAAATAGAGCACATTAATCAACCATTCTCTGTCTGGTAGCTTTTGTGATGTAAAACCTAAGTCTATTTCTTAAACAACTAATTAATGAAGCTCTCTATATAAATCTATTTTTGTGGCTTGTTTAATTAGGTATGCTATTTTGATATCTTTAGCTTGACATGTAAAGATTCTCATTAGGGCGACTCCTAATAAATACTCACTTCTAATGCAGGCAGATTTGAATTTTGGTAAGTAATACCCTTTCAGCACAAGTCCTGTATATAAAGAATTTAAGGATCCAACTAACCGATTGGCCTCTTTAATTGAAATACCATAATAGACGTAATATAAAAAAAAATTATAATATTCGTAATATACTTTTTATTTAATATGTTGAAAATATATTTTGTTTTCAAACTAGAAATTTTACATTACAAATAAATTGAATGACGTCGTTATTATATCGAATTAATATTTTATGTCACTTAATTTTTGAAATCAATATTTATAGTTTGAATTCGAAATATAAAGTCCAAATCAATTCTCTTAATTTATGCTAATATTGATTCTTCTGTAATAAATATTGAAAATTTAAATCAATTTTAAAGAACAATGAAAGCATAATTATTGAGTCTTCTGAGGAAAACGACTTTATTGACAATCATATTGAATACCATGAAAATTTATTTGGATATTTAGATTGTAAACTTAAATACTCGGTTTATCTAGGGTCTTTATTTCAACTTCATCATAGATGCAAACAGGAATGTTATTAATTAAATTAATTTCATTCATTAAGTATAATAACTCCTGAAAAGAGCAAAGACAGCTTTAACATTTTCTAAACGAAAATGATACAAAATAGTATTACAATTCACTCAAAAATCAAGGAGTTATTCAAAAAAAAAAATGTAAAATCAAGAGAAAAATACATAAGGTTGATTATAATTGGTTAATTAAGAAAAATTGTTACCTGATTACAAAACTGACTGAAAATAGATATACAAAAGAATATTTCTCAGTATTAGCACTGATAGGACTTATGTAAAAATCAATCTATTACTTAGACACATATTGTTTGGTTAAGATAGCATGTCTTGCAATCAGAAGCTAATTAATTTTGGAATTCATAAATTATTTTCAAATCATTTATTGAGAAATTCTAATTAGATGAGCAAAAAGTCTCATTAAAAACCTTTAATAATATACTTAAAGAAAGTGGACTAATTTTTAGATAAACTAGATAAAGAAATTAAAGATATTTTCTTAACAATATATAACAATTGAAGGTAATGTATTATTAACAATTATTATCAAATATTAAGTAATATTTTTAGATATTTTATTTAGATGAGTCTACTTTCACACATTAATCGACAAATCCATAATACTTGTAAATCAAGGAAAAATAAAAATATAGGTATGTGGTTCAAATAAAGTAGCGTTTAAATATTATTGGATTTATAGGGTAAAATGGTTATGCTAACTTTTAATTATGTATTGGAAATGTAAATTAGTATATTTTTGGCTAGTATATGTGTGCTTTCATAAAGGACATCTAAATTAATAATAACAACAAAAAATTTGTTATAATTATAGATAATAGTTCAATTCTTCATAGTAAAATTATAAAAAAATGTTTTTTTTTGACTAAATTAATGTGGAATTTTTGGCACCTTATTCTCCAGAACTTAATCCTATTGAAGGTGTGTGGAAATTATTAAAATAGCATGTGTATAAAATGTTCATAAACTAATTTTAATGTCATTCATAAAATAGTTTATAATTATCTGAAGACTTTAAGCAAAAATATAATTGATAATTTAATTTAACGTAGTTGGAAAGAAATAGAAAAATCATTATTGATATGATAATCGATTAAAATAATTGAAAATGATTATAAATATTAATCCAAAACATAATTTAATAATTATTTCGAGTGTATCAATATGGAATAATTGTGGGGAAGAAATTTTATAATTATTGATGTTTCTATTAGTATTTACTAAGATTCATTAATAGAATATGTAAGATTTTATATTCTATTGGGTTATTCTATTGGGTACGGATCAATCATTTTGGTCATCTTATGCTTAAGCTGAAATTTTCAATTCTCCATTATATGGAAATTAATACGGAAGCATAGGATATTTTAGCTGACAAGCAACTTTTCAGATACGTTCAATATTCTTGAATTAAGGTAGGCTTCCCATATTCGCTTATAGAGGTTACAAATTTGATAAAAGTGCGTAGTTATGTAAACAAAGGTCCTTAAACTCATAATTTAATATATCATTTATTTGTATGATAATTTTATAATACATTAGGGGACTCAACTACTTCTTATGCTTTTTTTGATTAAGTATCTCTTTGTTTTCCTAAATCTCAGATCAAAATTGTTCAACCTAATTGTGCAGAGCTCTTTTCTGAATGCGATTACGCTGGTGACTCTATTGCTATTTGTAATAATATTTCAGATTTATTATTACTTGGACAGCGAAATCAGTCAAATCCTCAATGATTTCCACTTAAAAGAAATTATATCTTATTAATTAGATTAATTATTAAGGTTAGGAATAAAAAATATACAAAATTAATAATGTATGGAATCTCAATCCATATTATCTGTTAAATTCTAGCCTTAACTTCTATAATAAAAGTAATATTTATCAATTCCAATATAAACAACAATCATTGCAAATATGTTTATTATTATAGCTAATGCAATTATTAAGGCACTGTTTATTAAATTTAACAGGGATAGCAATTAGTCCGATCAAACAAGATTCCCTTTGTAATAAAATCAATTAGCATTCGTCCAAATAATATTGTAAAATTGAGAGACCCATCATATTTTGGGGGTGATAACGAAGCAATTAGTTCTTCATAGGCTTATTTAGATAGCTATAAAGTATCATTAACCATAATTCATTTTAGTTTCCTTATGTAGTTTATATATAAATTATTTTATAATAATTTCTAATTATTCTGTTAGAAAAATATTTTTGAATTGATGTGACTTTATTTAACTTGATTTTCCTAATTTATTACTTTCCTGTCAAATTTCGAAATGTGTTTTCTAAATATAAAACAGTTGTATATTTTTTGATACAACAATAGTCAAAATAAAATATTATTCATTAAAGCAAAAAATTTGAATTATTTAAATTGTTATATTTGATATAGTTATCAAATTGGAATATAAATATATTTATGTATAAATATTAAATTTTGTAATTTTAATTGTTTTTTTGATCCTTTAAAAATTGTTGTCTTTACTGAAAATTAATAAAGTATCATCAATAAAATAAAATTATTAAAATTAATTAATTTTATTTTCAAAAAATAAACTTAAATTCTCAAGTAATAAGGGAGGATTTATTACATCTAACATAATATTGTTTCTTTCGATTTTATTCAAGCAAATTATTTTATTAACCTTTATTCTAACTAAATCTTATTTGAAGTATAATGTGAAAATATTTGATTCATTTCCTGTTTGATAATTATATGAATTTAACATTATACATTTTTTAATAATTTTTTCACTAAAGCTTTTCATAATCATATTTCTCACTTTAAAATTGAATACTATGAATATTTCATAAAAATTTCTTATTTTGTTTTTACTTCGATGCCACTACTTGAATATATTGAACTAGTGTATTTTGAAGTGTAAATTAGTAAGTTTAGAAAAAAATATAATATTAGATGATTATATTCATTATGATAATTTTTCATGATTAGGTATTCATTTCATCCTTTACAACTTAGAAAGCTTTTTCGTAGGCTAAACCTCTTGAATTTATTAATCTTGGGATTAATTTGTTTTTTTAAAACCATTCATAACCTTTGATTTATTCTTGTATTATATTTTCGTTATTTTTTTCTTAGTTGATTTTATTTGATTCAAAACAAGTTTTTCTGAAGTCATTTTAAAAAATTTCATATCTTTTTGCCGAGCCAAAGACGTATCCAACTATTTCAAAAGACTTTTAGGATATAATAATTTAAGTTAAATCGTCTTTAGTTAATCCGAAAACATTATCACAATCCTAATAATATGTGAGATTTTTGTTTTCTGGATTAAAACTATACAATAAATTCAATAACCATTTTTTATCTGGTAATCTATCTTCGCTTAATCCTAGGTTGAATTATTTTTTCCAACAAAAACCATCCAATTCAATACATAATCTAAGTTTAGAAATTTTTTTCAAAACTTATCCTTACCTCAAGTTTTATGACTAAATTTTGAAACATCTTCCTAAGGCTACATTAGATAAATATTCACTAGATATTGCAGCAGAATTATCATCTGGTATGTAAATACCATTTTTTATCAAAGCTGTGTACATACTCTCTGAAGATCCAACAACATTATTTGCCTCTTAAATGGTTACTTGTGCCTATAAATAATAATTTATAAATAATAATCATGAATTCCTTTTTAAAAAGTTATCCATTATTTTAAATATCATACCATATTTATTTTAAGAAGTTAAAACTTTATTTTAATAAAGTAAAATTTTTCCAACAATAAAATTTTTTCCACAATTTAAATAACTAAAAATTTTTTTCATCATAAGAAAAATTCTTTATTCTTGTATATCTAACCTCACTCTTATTAAAATTTTTTTTATTTTCTATTAATGTTAATTATGTCATTTAAATTGTCTAGTCACATAAAATAATAACGAGTGAGGTTCTAGCAATTGCAAGTTCCTCATAATAATTGCTCAAATTAATGTTTAAATTACAACGCCATACAAATATATAAAAGAGATAACTTCTTTAATAAGGAATAAATTGTAATCAAGCCACATGAAGACTGCAATAGAGAATCACAAAAAATATTGACCTTCATTAGAAGAACAAAATTTAAGAATAAAAATTGAGAAAAAACATTGATCAAATTTTTCGAAATGAATTGAGTTATGATTGAGTTTAAAAAATAGACTTCAAAATGAAAATTAAGAAAATAAAATTATTCAACTAGATTAATTGCTGGTGATATTGAATAACAAATGAATGAATACCTTGAAAAATCTATGTATCTCAATTTAAATAGTGGACATATAAATTGGATTAAAAAGTGCATTAGATAAGCAGACTCATCTAATCTTGTAAAAAGTAACTTATTTACAGAAAATTTTTAGAAAAATTTGATAAGTCTCCTTAACCTATCTCCTTGAAATAATTTTAAATCATATTGAAAAAGAATTGAAAAGCCACATATAAATACAAAATTAAAAAAAAACCACTCTCCTTTGGTATTGAAACACGTGAATATAAATACTAATATTCTTTTTAAATATTTAAGCTTGAGCTGTTCTAATTATAAATTCAGTTATTTATATGAAACAACTCTTGGACATGAATAGAAATAATATATATGTTGGTAAATAAGGTA